TTTTTTTTTTTTTTTTTTTTTTTTTTTTTTTTTTTTTTTTTTTTTTTTTTTTTTTTGGTCTGTAAGAGGATATTTTCTGAAAATCCTAAAGCATGATGCTGATTTGTTCTATATGAAACAATAGAATTAAGAGAGAAGATTTTGAAACACCAACATCGAGATCCGTTGTCAGGGAATTTCATTGTGGATATACAGAAAACGGATCTCCCGCAAGTTCCATTAATCTTGTGGACTCGGCAACGGCTAAAAGGGAGTCCGACTCTGGTTGAGAGTCTAGGAGTGCGGCTCGTATTGATTCTGCCTCCAAGTTCGAATATTTTTGCTCGTCCTTTTCCGGACTTTTTTCTACTCCCGGCTCGAGTCTGTAGCGATTGTTGGGTTTCTTTTTTCTCCTTCCCTCTCGTTCGCGTTCCTTTTTTTGCCCGTCTTCGTTTTCTTTTTCTCTCTCTCTATTTACAAGCAAAATAATTCTAACTGCTCACTGATGAGCGGTAAAATACGCACTCAGTAAAATTTAAAAAAGAGATGATAATGATGATTTCATCCCTTTTTCATCAACTGTTTTAAAATTCCTTAATCATTTGAGAATTTGTCTGCATCATTTTTTTGGTATAAGTGCCATGGGTGAAAATTTTTATGGGCATTTACAGAAACGTCCAATTAATATTTTCCTCGTCGAATGATTCGACTCGAATCTGTTTTTGAGACAACCGGAATTCCGATCGTGCCAATGGAATTATTGTTTCGACGACTAGAATTGGGGCAACCGATGATGACGTCACTGGTGCACTCGTTAATGACGTCGATCAATCAGACGATGACGTCATAGGGGCTACCATTGATGGCGTCATCGGAGTACTCGTTGAGGACGTCATCGGAGTACTCGTTAAGGACGCCATCGGGGCACCCGTTGTTGATGAGGCGACCAACAAGGGATTGCTGATGATGGCATCGGGATATCCATTGATGACATCAACGGAGCACTCGTCTTCATTTCTTATCAATATCATAAATATTTTGAATTGAAAATTCCATTAAATATATCGACGGTGAAACTACCAGATCATGTGGATTGCATTTTGCAAAAAGGAACCACTAGCATTGCAATGTTGCTAAGATTATGCAACTTCTTTTGTCTTGGAGGAAAACCCCGATTATCCCTTAATAGTTTCTATTTTACTTGCTAAAAACTGTAAATTTAAGACAAAATTTACCATCTAAATTTCATAGTTTTTCACACTTTCCGCAATTTTATTGCAAATAATGAAGTTGCACAATCTTAGCATCATTGCAGTGCTAGTGGTTCCTTTTTGCAAAATGCAATCCATGTATCTCGTTTGCTGTGTTCAAAGATCTTCGCATCCACTTCAAGTTGTGAAGAAGAACAAATCAAAATAATTTCTTGAAATTTTCACAGAGTTTTCTTTGCGTAGGAAGGAAAATACACTGAAGTTTTCAAGCATTGACGTTGAGCAGTTCACCATAAAAAACAAAGTATGTCAGGAAGTCTACAACGTCGCAAACCGAGATACATGGTCTGGTCGCTGTATGTTTGGGCACACTGAAAAAAATAGTTCTGTTCATAGGGCTCCTGCGCTTCCTTTGTTACAGCTACAGAGGTTTCCATTGTGAGAAAGGAGTACTCTAAGCTCAGGACCGAAGTTCTGTTCTCGCAACAGAAAAGTTGTGTAACTAAAACAAAGGAAGTATAGGAGCCCTGTGAACAGAAAGTCCTGTGTTTCCTGTTTCCGTTGTGAGGAAAGAGTATACTCTAAGCTCAGGACCGAAGTTCTGTTTTCACAATAGGAATTAAAGTTCTGTAACTGAAACATAGAAAGAGAAGAGCCCTGTGATCGGAAGGTCCTGTCATTGCCACCGACGATTTTTTTATGTGTAGATATTGTATCAACTTCAGGGTGGCATGAAACGTAAGAAAGAAATGAAACATTGGACATTTCAGTGAAATATTCCATGAAATTTCACGAGACCGTAAAATATTTCATATTTTTCAGGGGATAGAGTATGCAACCCGCACTCAAACACACAAAAATAGAAAAAAGTCAAAATTTTTACATTTTGCGAACATGAAGAGGAGCCGGTGTTTTTCAATATCTTTCATAAATTTCTGAAATTTCATGAAATATTTCACGTGAAATTTCAAGATTTTATTTTTCATGAAATTTTGCCACCCTGGTCAACTTGTTCGTCTGACTTTGCGTCTGTTTAACACGAGGCTTAACACTTGGGGGTTGGTGTGCTTCCAGGTGTGGTTCAAGAACCGGCGGGCGAAGTGCCGGCAGCAAGTGAAGCAGCATCAGCAGCAGCACAACGGGAGCGGGGGCGGGGGCGGCGAGAAGACGTCGAGTCGCCACGGAAGCAAGAGCAAAGGCGCCTCGGGCAACAGCACCTCCAACGCCAACGCGGTGTCCTCCAAGGCCGGCACCGGGGGCACCGGGGGGGCCGGACACCCGACGAGCACCGCCCCCACCCCCACGGCCCCCTCGCTCTCCTTCAACACCAACACCACCAGCTCCTCGGCCAGCTCGCCCCTCGTCCCCTCCACGCCACACCACCGGGGGGTCGACTCCCCCGCCACCCCCACGCACTCGCCCTACATCAAACCTCTGCTCAGTGCTACGCCGCCCATACCCTCCGTTTACACCTCAGGTATGACTAGCTTTCATTTTCACAATCTTACCCTTTACCGACTCAAAGGCATAGCTCTCTTGGAGCAGTGCCGCCCCCCCCCCACTAAAAATGAAGTTATTTTGTATTCTTAGAATCGTGATTTGATAATAAACTATCTCTCTATCGTCAAATGGGGCTAGGTTTGGGGATGAGGCTCTTTTAAGCTTCCAGTTTCATCATGGTGGGAAATCTTGCTCGAATCGCTCAACAGCTAAAAATAATGTAATTTCATAAGCGGTATGTTGCTGAAGGTAGAAGTGTCCCTCTCATCATCGAGGGGCTATCGAAAGATCTTCATTTGTTTTTGTATTTTCAATATTAAAAAAAGTTAGAGATCAATGAGCATCGAATGAACGTAGGTAACAGTTTGTCTGAACTGTTTGAATACCTGAATTTGACTCAAAATTGGATCAGAAATCTCAAACATATAAAATGCATGATGTCGACCAACAACCATGAGTTCTCATCATCAGTCTATGAGTTCGGCTCATCCCGATTACGATTGTCCAAAATATTCGTTTCTGTATATTCTGTTGAAAAGAAAAGCTTTTCCAAAATTTCGCACGGTTTTCAACGATACTAATAAAAAAGGCAGACAAGTTCAGACCGTCTAAGACTTAATACCCCACTCAAATGGATGCAGAATGAGAATATATTCAGCGCGGCGAGGTGTTATATATTGCTAAGAGCAATCGAAACTCCTTCATTTTGAAATATTATGCAACTTGCGCAGCTCTCAAGTACGAATAGTTGCACTCATAGGCGTTGCTATCATCTCTCGCCTTGCGATCGTTCTTCGACTAACAAGGAGATTTTTATTCCTTCCTAAATAAAGACGGTCGAAAAATCGGTCCCATTGTGACGGATGAAAAAACTTATCAGTTCTTTTTTTATTAATCTTTCAACTGAGAAGGAAAATCGCAGAAAGTTTCATCCATCATGGGTATTGTGGTATTAAATTGCATCATAGGCATGTGACATATTCCTGTTTTTCTGGGCGTTATCTGGGCATTAATCATTGAATTTTCCCCCTAAAATTACAACTTAACCCGGGCGGGAATGCAACTTCATTCACCGTAAACGACTTGCCCTTTAAAAGTTCAGACAGGAAGTAATATTGGATTTCGTGAGACAGTTGTTCTGCACGCTTGTTCCTGTTCAAGGTTGGGAATGATACATTCCCAAAAGGACTTCAATTCGCATAACGGAACTACAATTTCTGCATATACGTAAAAACACCTGGGCATCTGCATTGGGAAACTAATAGCGCATACGTTGTTTCTAATGTAAGCTAAAAATTGTAGCTTCTAATAACAAAGTATAATCCAAATAGAGAGATAGCATCATACCAATATTTTTCTGTTTCATCTGTATTTAGATTTCCTGCGTATTTTTGTTTTCAGTTGCAAATGCATCAATATGGAGTCCTGCAATTTTAGATTCATGTATAGATAGATCACCATCGGGATCTGGATACAGTGGTGGGTCCACCAACACCGTCAATAGTGCTGTCACCACTTATCCTAACTCCCATCATCACGCTCATCAAAATTATAATTCATATTACTCAAATACCGACTACTTGGGCTCTTCAGGGGTCATGGCACACTCTCAGCTGTCTAGTGTAAGTATGAACTGACTGATTGACCTAAGGAAACTGAGAATACCTAAAACTGTATGATCTATTGAAGTGCGAAGAATTTGAGAACCCACTACGGTATGAATTAATTGGACGTATAGTTATTCTAAAAGGAACTGTATTGCACGCAAACCACAAAGCAAGGTACATAGTTCCTTTTAGCAAAAATACGTCCAATTTTGGGCCTCGGATTCTTTGGGACACAAATCTAGGTTGCGTTGTGGCTTTCGTAAAAATATGGGGTCCCATTTATTTCTCGATATTTCGGTAGGTAGTCATTTTACAACCCTGGTAAAAATTGGCAGTGGAATGTGTGTTCCAAAATACTATAGACCTAAAGCCGGCTGTAAGATCTCCAATAGCCTCTGTAGCCGGCTGTACAATTTCTTATAGCCTTTTATAGCCGATGGCGATTAAGCAACAGCCAGACGATAAAGTTTATGCTAAACGTTACTAATTACGGATACTAGGACTTAGTTAGTTTTTGGACTACCGCTCTCTTTTTGTGCCGTAGTATCTTGATTTATTTTGCGAGGAAAGCTCTGTACTTTTGAGGGATGCCTGTCAATCTTAATATGTTGGAGCGCCTTCAATTTCTTAGGATACTGTGCAATACCTCTGGTGTGAAATAGTTGCTTCGGACGCCGTGGCATGCTGCGGCGCGGCGGGCGAGCAGAGAGCACGAAACGCGCATTGGCGCCTACAAACCTAACAGGGATACTTCACGCATTGCGCAGTGCGTGAAGTATCCCTGTTAGGTTTGTAGGCGCCAGTGCGTCGCCGCTCCGCTTTGCGTTAGGCTCTAATATTTAATCTCGCGGAGTCAGCGATTTTCAACTCATGATTTTGAAATGTTTGCACACTCTGTATGGACTATTCTCATTTTAATTGATGAAAAAAAAATATGTTTTAAAGGAAAATATAATGTGTGTTTTGTAAATATTAAGGTAGTTCCGTATCAAACTTAATGATTTCCAAAGCACACGAATTTCTACACAATTTCTTTTAGCCTTTTATAACCAATGGTGATAAAGTGTAAAGCCCCGCGATAGGAACTATAGCCCGACTGTATACTTTTTTATAGCTTCGTATAGCCCGGCTATATGATTTGCTCCGCTTTCTACGGTCAGCTATATAATCTCCAATACCCTTCTCTAGTCGGCTATAAGAACTCCTATGGTATTTTGAAACGCAGCTCCTATCACCAATTTTTACCAAGGAATACAGAAAGTATTGATAAAAATTTGCCACATCAAGCTCCAGAAGAGTGGCTCAATTGTATTTTTTTAAAAAAAAAATAATAATAAAGAAATGCATCGCTAAGAATGAATAATTCTATGCGGCGCAATAGAGGGTTAAACTATGATCCTTTCTTTGATCTTGATGCATTTAATTCGGTATCCCTTTCTCTAAAGACCAATTAAGAACTTACATCAACCACACCTCTGATAATCCAAAGATGTAATTGAGAAAAGTATCAAAATAGACGCCAGCCTCCATCTTTATTATTTATTTTTGATAGGTTGGTTGGTTCTAATTAGATATTTTGCAATTTTGCCGCTTTTACCCTGAAACAATTACCCAAGTGACCTTCAACAGAGGTTGGTTTTAATGGCCTTAAAATAATTTAGCATGTGTAGGGTCTAAAGGAAGACACTTTTAAGACCACACATGCATCCACTTTATTTAGGTACTTTATCTTAACTTTTACAATTTTAGTGAGACTGCTTCTTCAAAGTTCAGTGATTATAGTCTTATGATTTACCGAATACCTTGGTATATTTTCTGATAATCTTTAGTAATCTTCTCTCTTTAACAGGAAAACGGTTTGGACTCATCATGGGTGAAGAGAGAAGATTCCTCGTGGTTTTACAATTCCTCCAGCTGGGAGAGGAAGTGAGATCATACTAGATAATCTTTCTTGACTGCAGTCGTTTTATCGTGCTTGTTGTGGTAAGTTTATGAACTGTTCCTTTCATGAGAAAAAATTAACTCGCATTTTAGTAGGTACATGATGAGATGATAGGATTTGAAGATGAGGAGTGCCTGTACTTTTAACCTTAGTAAAATTGGTAACACTGACAAAAATTGAAGCTTCCTACAAATAGAAAGCCTTCATCACAACTCCGATAAATAATGACAGATTTGGGTAAATATTCTTGGGAAAAAAGTGAAAAATGAAGACAACTAAGTGAACAGGCATGATTTTTCTATGAAATATTAATGCATGCTGGTGAGTCTGGTATTTGGTAGAGATTACAACCTATCAGAGTCAAGATCATAAATGTCTTAAATAATTTGTGTGATCACTGAGATTTTTCTGAAAACTTTTAAGAGACAAGATTCTTACAGGATACTAGTTCAACAATTATTAATTAAATTAGATGCCACTAGAAACGATATGTTTGACAATATGTTTACTTAAATTTCTGCAATGGGCCCCACTCATAAAGGCTTGCATTGGCATGAAACGTACAAGAATGGATGAAGTACATGATTGCTCTATAAAACAAAGAGTGAAAGAAAAAGGACCAAAAAAATTCAAATAAAAAGAAAAGAGAATTGGTAAACATTAATTTTATTGCAAAAACAGAAAATTGATGACATTGAAAGTGTACACAAAGTGCAGTAAAAATGAGATAGAAGAGCTGCATTTTCACTCAAATACTTGAAGGGTGATTGTTACCTTACTGTGTACTATCGTCCTCCAATACACAAAAGATTCATATCACTGAAATCATAATTTATTTTACTTGAGCTTAAAATGTTAGGGTAAATATAAGTCATGTACTACCTTTCAATGATAATTAAAAACACATGAATTTGAAATTATTAAATTTACTTAACAAATTTTACCTCAAAACCTTGACAAATTTGAGCTGTGAAGTACAATGTCGACTTAATTAGGAATTTGATCTTTCCGACTATTTTTTTAATTTCTGAGAGGGCACTTTCATAAACAAAAGTATCGATAGAATGTTATAAATTAAGACATCAATTTATAGATGAGGAGGGAAAATTACCAACTAATTTTTCAATTTTCTTATTTTGCTTCATTAAACAACTAAGGCCTGCCTATATCTACTATCACAATGTTTTGTTAGGGTGCCTGTCTTAATTTATGTTAAAAATTGTTTGTGATATTTAAAAAACATTCAGTCGATTTTGGCTTGGCGCATCGATCGTAGCTTTTTAACAGCAATGTGGACCATTTCTACTTTATCTCAGTGTTACCGAGTGCTGATGGGCAAGGCTTATTTGAGTGAGAGCAATTTTGCACAATGTTGTGATGTTGTCAAGACAAAGTTTTTTGTGACAATCCAAATGTATTCTAAGCCGCATGTTCCAGACATTTTTACAAGGTTTTTAGCCCTTTTTTTAAGCACTCTCTAAAACATTGCTCCTTGATTGTGAAATAGCAAGAGAAGTTACAATTTTTCTGTAGCATTTTCGTACTGTTACTTAAAAAAAAAATGAGTCTTGTGAGCAAGGAGATCAACTAATATGATTTCATACAAAAGAGGCAATAAAATCTCTTTTTAACAGTTAGGTATTTTTCAAAATTCATCAGGCTCCTATCTTTTAACTTATTTTGCCTTGTTTTTGGCTGTGCTTCACGGGAAAAATTAAAGCTACATTAAAAAGAGGGATGATAGAAATAGGCATGAGCTAATTGTTGGGTTGATACTTTAGGATGAAAGAAATTAAATAAAATAAAAAAAAAGAAACAAAACTTTACTTGGAAATGCACCTTGAATCTTATCGATGGGTTTGGCTATCATTTAATATCTCAGTTCTTTTGTAACATATAGTTCCTCTCCTTAAAACATATGATGCACTAATGAATACCTATTTACAAGAAAAAATATCACTAAACCATGGTGACCTAAAACTGTACAAAATTATACCTAAAACAAAGAACAAATTTTTTTGGGTGACCAACAATTTTCAACGACGAGACTAGCTCAACTCATCACTCTGCATCAAAACATGGAAATCCAGGACCAAATTCTTTCATAATTTACTTTAATATCACTTGAATATCTTACAATTCTCAGATTAGGCTCAAAATGCTTTTTAGTTTTTCTTTGTGAATGAGATACTTTATTACCATAAAAAACGCCAACTCAGCTAAGCTCATATTTACGAGACATTACGACCTCACATACATATCTTCAATAGTTGACGTTTATACTATTAATAAGGCATAGTGTCAATGATATTTGCATATAAAAATAGATTTAATATATTTTATACATAAATTTTTAACCGAGTTGACTAAGTACATCACGCATAGAATAAAAACCAGTTTCTTTACTAGCAATCCAAATTGCAGCCTTGATTGCCCCATCAGCAAAAGATACTCTATTAAGAGCTTGGTGTTTAAAGCTGATAGTTTCATTATCACCTAGAAACATTATCTCATGCTCTCCGTACACATGTCCTCCTCTAATTGCAGCGATACCAATTTCGCCCGATAGTCTCTTACCATGGCGGTTATGAATTACGTCCTTCTTATAATCTAAATTTCTTGCTTCCGCTAATGTTTTACCAAGCATAAGAGCAGTACCAGAAGGAATATCTAACTTCATCCGGTGGTGAGACTCTACGATCTCTATATCATAATTTTTATCAAGAATTTTTGCTGCTTTTTCAGTTAGTATGGCAAGTAAATTTATTCCTAAACTCATATTAGCAGAATATAATATAGCTATATCCTTTGAAGCAGAATGCATAAGATCTGAGACTTTTGACTCAAAACCGGTGGTACCAATAACCAATTTATTTTTATATTTTATTGCTGATTTGAGCAATTTTTCTAATAATTCGCCATTTGAAAAATCTATAATTACATGACAATTACGACAAAATTCATCTAAATCATTATTTTGCCTGGAAAATGTTGATGAAATTTTACAAGAATCAAATCTTCCTATTCTTTCAATTATCATTTTTCCCATTTTACCGGTAGAACCACATAATCCAATATTTATCATTTTGATTCTCTATATTCTCGCAAACAATGTTCTAGTGGTTTATTAGAATTTTTAACCTTGATATTTATTCCTTCACCAATAACTACCACTTGATCACCAATATTATATTGATTGAATTTCTTACATTCAATATAACACACTGCCCTTACATCAAAAAATTTATAACGCTATTGAAATTATGAATGAATAAATCGAAATTAATTATAAATCAAAAATGAAAAGAAAATTTTGCTTCACAATGAGCAATTTCTTCAGAGCTATCTAGATTGAAGCACGTCACTTAGGATTGGTCTACAGCGGCAGTGCTTAGGTTGGCTTGGTTACAAATCGTAATTCATTGTTGTCACCCAGTTCAAACGCAGAGGGAAATCACTGAAAACAATCATAAGAACAAAATGTCAAATAAAAGAAATAGGAAAGTAAATTACAACAAAAAATTAAATTATTGGGTGCTACTTAATAATTTTAAGGAGATGGTTCTCTCAATCCGCAGAGAGAATATTCTTCTCCAAGAATCTGAGCCGAAGGAGCACTAAGGGAAGAGGAAACAAATCTTGCTGAGGAAACATAGGGAATTCATGAGTTACCATGACATTCTGCAATCATAACAGACCAAAGGAGTTGCATGGGAAGGATTTTCAAGGCATGTTTGTTTGTGCTGCGAGCGGAGGATCCTGTAGAAATGACCGTGACCTCTCTCGGTTGCAGGCTTTGTTGGGAAATTGGAGCTTTTTTAGCTGAGTAGAGGGGCAAATGTGCTTTTTCATGTAGTCATTCTTTAGTGGTAGGATAGGCAGTAGGCCCAA